ATTTAATAAACAATGTCAAAAACATTGTTTTTCTTTAGTGGAACATTAGATTCAAGAGTGTTTTTATCACTGTTGTTGGCATCTTTTGAGATAAAAATTTTAGTTTTAACTGTTTTATAACAAATATCAGACTTATCTGAAGTGTTCTTAGAAACACTAGGAAAGAATAATTTAGACTGAATTGGTTTATGTATTTTGTTATTTGTAGGTGGAAAACTAGACTTAAAAATTTATATTTTATGATGCTGAGTAAATTTGAATCACTTTTAACAACAGCTGGTCATTTTTTATGAAGATATTTAACCAGTGCCACAAAATAATTTGGCTTAAAGCATAAAACACTTTTATTTTTTGTTTTATCTAAATTGCACAACAAAAAATTAATTGGACAATAATTTTTGGATGCAAGGCTTCATAAGGGTATTAAAAAAACTATGATTTATGATTACTTTTTGAAACCAATATCAGCATAGATAGGTTTAATAGGTTGCTTTATAACATTATATAATGCTATTAGGCAAATGAAAGATGACATTCAGAAATCATATTATCGTTAACTGTTGAAAAACTGTCAGTGTATTTAAACGAAAAAGCAATAAAAAGCAAATTTAGAAAGCTGAGAATTCTTAATCTATGTAGAAAAAAATAATCATACTATGTCTAAAAATTTATGCTTTCAAATAATTCAATTGATGTCAGTAATCTTAGAATTTTTGAAGTATGCTTACTGTCATTTAAAATCAAAGATACTGAGCTATAAAGACAATTTACATTTTAGTAGACCTGAGAGAAATAGTAAAATATATTCAAATTGAATAATAAGTATAATATACTAAAGTGTAGTATTAATAACAAAACAAAAATAGATTAACTATTATATTTTTTTTTATTTTTTTTATGAATATAACATTTTAGTATATACCATAATTTCTCATTAAAAAACTAAATCACTTTTATAGTTTATTTGTGTGTTTAATAATTCAATTTCATACACATTATCAAGAATATAAATCTGTAGTAAAATGTGTTAACAATTAGTTAAACACCAATAAATAAAGTTAAAATCCAACATAGATGTAGGTCCATTTGTAATATTATTTTAATTAAATAAAACTTTTATAAAGCTTAAATTTAAGCATTAAGGTATTTTTTGTTTGTTTTATAAAACAAACAAAAAATACCTTAATGCTGTATGAACAAGAGTTCTTTTAGTTAAGGGTACAAAATCCATCATATCTGTGTTAAATTGGTAAAAATCCTGTATTCTTGGAAACATTAGATTTAATTCCGAAAGCTCTTTAATGAGTCTAGTTTTGTAATTTAAGACATTAGACTTATCAAAAAGCATGTTTTGTTTCTATTGTACAAGCAACTAATTCTATATTTAAATAAGGATTCATGTTTTATAATATTTAAATAATCAAGTAATTAAATAATCAAGTAAAGTCACATTATCTTAGTTTCGATACTAATGATAATGATCACAGTAGCGAATAAAAAACCCTAATTTATTAGCTTCTATTTAACAGAATATTTTTCTAAATCGGACACGTTAAAAACAACTGTGTGGCCAAGTTTTATTTTCACGGTTAAGAGATCTATATTTTATTATTTATTTCAGAGCATTTATTGATAGAATAAAACGTCGGTAACGTGTAATAGGAACCGT